TACATACATACATGTACATATATACATATATATATACATATATATATATGTACATATATACATATCTATATATATTTATATATGTACATATATACATATCTATAAATAAATAAATATATATATACATACATATATATATAGGTGGTAGCAGATATGTATGTAGACATACGTACACACACATATAGATATACACACCTATGCACGCATACATACATATATATATATATATAGATATGTATATATATATATATACGCCGCCACCCTCAAAGATCTATGTTTTTTATAACTATTGCTGTGCTTTTACGGCTTAGACAGTCTACCAACGATAGCCCGAGACACAGTCCCCAGTTGAATCGTAGCTTATTGGGTAAGGGTGTCCTATGAAGGCAATCAGGCACCAAGAAGCATAGCCTTACAACTACCTTATGGGATGCCCCTCTATGTACTTTGGATAATCTCACATAGAATGCCTTATTCTCGGCTACAGAATACCCGTTGCACAATACCATCTACATGGAGTAGCCCTCTAGGTTAGCGTATAGAATGCCTATATCATACCATATGGAATACCCCGCTAACAGAATACCTTACGGAAGACCGCCTATGTAATATACCCTCTGTATACCTTAAATCTACCTTAAAGAATATCCCCTAGAATACGTTTTCGGATACCCTGTAGAATATCTTATGGAATATCCGATAGCATACCCGATAGAACGATTTAAATAGGGAAAATCAGGAGGAGCCCAAGATCTAAGAATTAGTCGTTTAAATTGTAGCTTCTTGAACGAAGGACTTCTAAGAACGAACCCGGGAATCTGGCAGCATTGCCTATAGAATGCCTTACAGAATACCCTTTCTACAAACCTTAATGAATTCATGTAAACTGCAGTAATACCTTATAGAATACCCCTATATACCTTGTATACCTTATTGAATACCCTGTAGCCCATATTATACAATTTGAAACACCTTATGGAGTACCTTCCTATATACACCCCATAGAATACCTTACACAATGCCTTGTGGAATACCATAGAATACCCGATAGAATGCGCGAGAATATACTGTATAAAATGGTCCTATAGATCCTATATATGTTATATAGAATGCCTTGCAGAATACCCCTACATGTTATATAAAATACCATCTGGAACCCTTTATGGATTGCCTTGTAGAATACCCCCATGTATATGATACCCCATTGGATAGCCTATATATATATATATACATATATATATATACCCTGGCTGAAATTTGGCTATCGAGCCGCATTTCGCTGTCCTCATTTCGGAATCGCAGCCTTTCGATACCACTAAATTTTGCTTGACGACACCCTTCGGAACGTTTGAACCCTAAACCCTAAACCCTAAACCCTAAACCACAGGGGTTCGGTAGCACCAATTTTTTGTATTTCAGCTCTCAGCCGCTTTCGCATAACTCCTCTCGCAAGATTCTTCGGAACGCCATGCTGGGTCATTGCATTCTGACGGCTCTTTGGACCGCGTTTGGAGTTTATGGCGAAGGTGTGCCTGTTGATGCTGAGTTTCTTGAGCATTTTGCGCTTATTGCCCACGAGTGCGACATGCACCCATCTCTCTCAGGGACTGCTCAATTCCCTCTTGGTTCTAACGTAGCTGCGCAGCATATTATCACTGCTGTGCAATTTACTTTGACCTATCAGGGTGCTGAGCAAGTCGTTGGCTCTTCTTTGCAGCCTTTCTTTGCTTTGCTTCCAGGAATCACTGTGCTCCAACTATTGCATCACTCAATTCCTGCTACCGGTGACTACGCTGGAGCCCTTTGCATGGTTCAGAAGCTTCTACTTGATCTTCTTACCGTTCTACCGGGTATTCACGAACGTCTCTGTAGCATTGACCTGCCTTTTGAATTGTCACGCTGCTTTCCAGGACGTTGTATCAGTGTTGACATCACCTCAAAGCGCTTTCGCACCTGCCTTGGGGTAGCAGTGACCCCGATTGCGGACATCAAGGCCCTCTATTCTTACTTCAAGGATCAATTTGCTCAACCTCCTGTGCATACCTCTTCTCAGGTCGCCAACGTGGTACCTTTGGTGAACTCTTTCACATCAACCGCGGCACTTGATCCTGAAGATTCCCTGGTTCTTCAAGCCATCTGAGTCTACACTTGCATCTGTTGGGGCTTTTCAGTCGGTTGAGGTGAGCGAGATCATACTTCCTTCAGCTTCTGTAGCTGTCGGTCCACCGGAACCCTCAACCCCCACCCCGACCGTGTATATTGAGGTTCATTCTGACGCTCATGTTGGCGATGGCCCTACGCAATCCTTTCATACTGCTTCTACCACTGGATCCTCTTTCCAGCGTGATAGGGTTCGCTTTTCCGGCCAAACATGGACTGGTTCTTCTCGAGCTTCTGATTTTCCACCGAGCGCACCATTGCCAGTTCCTGCTCAGCAAGTGCAGGAAACACCCGGCTCTGGTTCTGATTCATCGCTTCCGCTCGAGACTCCGTCCGATCTATTTTCAACTGTGCAGGAACCGGCCGTGTTCATCATGCCAACAGTTCATTACAACGCTCCTGGATCTCATGTCACAACCCAATCGCCGGCGGAACTCACCAAGATTCCAGTTCTAAATTCTCAACTGTTTTTCGCTCACACGGTTCTCTTAGTTGCGAGGGTCTTTAGTGTTGGATCTACTTTTACAGGATCTCCGATCTCTCTCGATCAGCGTCCCATCCCAAATCCTGGCCTGGGATGGCTTTGCATCTCAGTGTGCTCGGTGATCACGCTACTATCTCTGGTACTTGCGAATCCTGATGTCCATTTGGCTCTTTGGGATGAACCAGCGATCGCACCCTCCTTCACGCTCACCTGTGCTGCTCATGCATTGGAGCTGCTTATCATGCTTGGGGTCTCCATTCATGTTCTGAACGATCAACATGAGGCCTATGAGGTTAAGTGGACCCGCATGCTCAATGCTTTTAAGCCCAAACCTGCTCCAAGTGGTCCCTTGCCCTCCGAGGATGTGGAAAGCAGATCCGAACCTCCTGATTCCAGTGTATCTGTTGAGTACAGGGCTCTGTTTCATACACCAAATGTCATTTACGCCGTTTCTGAGGCTCTGGTTGGCCACCTCTTTCTCTCTGTGACAGGTTTCTCTTTGTCCACGCTTTTCAACACATTCCCACGAATTCCTGGTGATCCCAAGAAACAGGTTGAGCGTGTCGCCTCCTCCAATGACCTTCTTGCCATTCTTCTGCGTTTGGCAGAGGCAGACGCAGATTACTTTCCCAGTTTGGTTAAGGATCCTCGCATGCGGTTTCTTCTTGGCAACCTCAGCATTCCAGCGTTGGAGTTGTTTACATCTGCAACAGCTGAGGTTTACCCCTCAGGGGACCTTCCCAAGCCAATCCTTTTTCTGAAAGCGTGTGTGAATAAGGATTCGTCTGTCGCTGAGTTGCAGGAGGCGGGAGCGACCGCGTACCCGTTCTTAGGCCACAGGGACCTCTCAGCAATTGCGGACTTGCATGAGCATTCGAGCCTTGCTTCGGTGACGTTGCCAGAATTCCTCGCTGCCGCTTCGACGAGCCCCCAGAGTTTCGGTTTGAGTCAATTTGATTGGTCCTGCTTCAAGGCCATCATCAAAAGTTGGGAGAACACGGCTCTTTGGATTCCTACGAAGGACGCTAAAAAGTCTCGGGCAGTTCATGTTCAGCACTGCGGCTCATTTGCTTCAGCTGAAGTTCGCTTGTCTACTGGCAAGCCAGGTGGTAGCATTATTCATGCAGGAGCTATTGCATTACGTCTCACCGTCACGATTGTGTTGGTTCTGCTGACAACCGCTGCATCCGCTCCTCCCAGGATTCGCACTGGGCTTGCTTATTGGGCTCCTCCTGAGCTGCAGGACGCAGAACCGCAGCCTAAGCTTCAGGATGTGGTTCTTCAACCCTAAACCCTACATGGTCGGAATGGCGAAATGTTGACCTATCAACAGGAGCACCAGGCCATCATCGACTATTTTGAGAAGCTGTTTCAATCACACATGCCAGCGATGACTATGCCCTGTCCCAGCAGTCATTCCAATTATCAGGTTACACCGGCTGATTTTGAGAAAGCTCTTCGCTCTCTCAAAGTTGGAAGAGCCGTACCCTCAGATAGCGCGCCATCCAGTTCTATGCGGGCTTGTGCAGATATGATCGCCAGGGTGGCTGCACCACAAGCAGCCGCATGCCTGAGAGGCGAACAAACCCCGAGCCTGTGGAGCGATTGTTCTCTTGCAATGATTCCGAAACCGCATAAACCGGCTAAGAGACCAGAAAATCTGAGGCCGTTAGGACTACAGGACGCGGGGGCTAAGGCGTACGCCAAAATCCTCAAAGGGCACCTCCTGCAGGAAGTCGACAAGACCCTCATGAAGTACCCTTTACACGCATATATCCCTGGAAGGAATACGGAATCGGCAATAACACGTGTTACGGAACATTGCAGAGCTATTCGCACCAAGCACCAGGGGCAGCTTGCAAACGTCCACACGCGAAGGGCCAGGGTTAAACAACAGCATGTCATCGGAGGAATCCAATTAGCCGTTGACCTTTCCACTGCGTTCGACATGGTGCCCAGAGACAAGCTTCTCCAAGCATTAATTTGGGCTGGTTCCAGCGATATCCTGGCAAATGCAGTATTAGACTTGCACCAGGTCTGTAGATACAGCATTCAACACAGAGGACGTGTGCGACACATTTGTATGCGGACAGGTGTCCGTCAGGGATGTACATTAGCACCACTGTTGTGGGCAGTCTACCCTGCTTACATCACACATCATATTGCAGAAGAGCTTACAATGTCCTGGGTCAGTGAACATCTCACGTTATACGCCGACGACACCCACGCCAGTTGGACCGTGGAGTCTCTGGAATCCTTGAAACTAGCGCTGAAATCTATCCCTGCTATATTCCGTATTTACCGGGCCTTCGGAATGCAAGTCAACCCGTTGAAGTCCGGAGTAATTATTGGAATCAGGGGAGTTTCTGGTACAGCTTTCATGGCATCCCACATACACGGCCCGTCAGGCAACAAACGTCTTGTACTAGGCCCTCCGCATGATCAGCTTGTCATACCGATCAGAGACAGCATGACCTATTTGGGGATACAAATCTCCTATGGGAACTTCGAGGATGCCACCCTCGACTCTAGGCTTGCAGTTGCTCACAGTACCCGCGGACGACTTCTTCGTGTTCTGCATGCTAGGCGGTATCTGACGATGCGCAAACGTCTGCAACTATATTTCTTGTGTGTACGCACTGCTGCGATTTACGGCTTGCTACCTGTAGGAGTAACTTCAGCAGGGTCTCGCAAACTTCATGTCTTTGAGGTCAAGCATGTTCGGGCAATAGCTCGGAGTCCGGTGCATCTGACGAGGGAAACCAATGCCCAGCTTTATGCTCGACTGAAGATACAGCAGCCTGGCGACAGCTTGATTAAACAAATGGAGGGTCGTATTCGCACTTTGATGAGCCGAAAGGCTGCTGTGCCTGTCGGTTTTCAGCTTCGCCTGGACGAGTTGCGCAATCATAGGCTCTCTTTGCAGCATGGTCTACAGGAAGTTTCATGTGCAGCAGCCTTTGACTGCCCAACGTGTGGTCAGTATTTTTGCACTTTGGCAGGAATGCGCGCACATCACACTCGCATGCATGGACGTAGACTGCAGGTTGACACTAAGGGTTCTGCCAGTAGACTGCACGGTCTTCGGGTACAAGATCATTGTATCAATCAGATGCCCATTTGCAAACACTGTGGATGTACCCTAACAACTTGGCATCAATTTCGTGTACATGTTCTCTCTAGCTGTGTTGTTCTGCATTCTGCCAAGACGGATAGGTCTGCTTTGCAGTCAGCTGCGGGACCTTCGTCACAGGAGCTTGCTAGGCAGTCCGCTGCGGAGCTCCCTTCAGAGTCTGACCACACACAAGCACAGGCTCCCTTTGAGCAACCCTCAGTGCAAAGACTTCTTGCTGCCGGGGATTGGAAAAGCATTTTGCAGCTCAACAACATGAAGGCAGTTCTGCAACATCATTGCATATTGTGCAATCAATGGGTCGCCAGAGCTCCAGGTTCCATGGCGTTGCATGTGAAAGCTATTCATCCTGATCTCATGCTTCATTGGGGCAATGCTATGGCTCACAGTTTGACCCTCCGAGAAGGGCAGGCCCGGCCTTGTCACGCTTGCGGTGCAGCACCTCGTGGGCGACACAGATGTCGTGTACTTCATCAGCTCTGCTTGATGCTGCATCATTGGCGTGCTCTGAGGTTAGTGTCTTCGGCAAGTTCAGCTGCTGATCATGGAGCCCACTATGCAGGCGGCTCAGGAAGTAGCGGACATCCTGAAGGAAGCGGTGGCGACCATCAGTCCACCGGGCCGGGAGGACGAGGAAATGCCACCCACCTCGGCACTGGGGAAGCGGGCGGAACACAGACTGGCGGAGGGCCCAGCCAAATTCTCCAAGCCGGCTGGAAGGCAGGGCCAGGGCTCACACTACCCTCCGGAATCGGAGCCCAGCCACGGCTCGGGTCAAAGCTCGGACCAATGGCAGGATCGCCCGGCCAATCCCAAGAATTGGACCAAGGAGCAGACACGGCAGCGACAGGACGAGATGTGGCGCCAATGGGAGTCGAACACCTCTTGGTATCAGACTCAGGATATCAAGAAACTCCGCCAAGAGATGGAGCAGCTACAGGAGCATGTCCGCCTCCTTGCCCGAATGTCTTTGAGACACGAAGACGAGCTGTCACAAGGACGAACAGAGCGCGATTTTGTGCTCACTTTCGAGCCGCCGACCCCAGGTACCAACGACAACTCGGCCAACATGTTGGTGATTCTCTTCCGGATGGCAGTGGTTTGGAAGGAGAAGAAGGAGGGCAGTACATCAAGCAGATCACGACCAGCCTCGAGCAACCGGAGGACAGAGAACAGCTGGCTATGATGAAGTTTCTTCGCCAAACAAACGAGGGGAGGAGCATGGAGTGGCCCTACCTGAGGTGGAATCAGGAACGACAGCTCCTGGAGGAGGCTCCCATGGCTGCTCTGTCCCACACGGACCTGATGACGGCCCTGGCCACACTGGAAAGCTCCATTTCGGCACCTGGGGCCCTCCTGCGATTTCATTCCACACGCAAACTGGTGGAAAGTCACCAGTCACCGGT